TTTTTTTTTTTGCACCCGAGGGAACAGTACCCTCGGGTACTGTTCATGAATAGGAAAATATATATATATATATATATATATATTTTTTTTTTTTGGCACCCGAGGGAACAGTTCCCTCGGGTACTGTTCATGAATAGGAATATATATATATATATATTTAGTGCAACTTATTATTCTTTTTCCCAGAATTTAAGGACAAACCAACCCTCTCCATTCCAGAAGCCGAGTATGTTGGTAATGCCTCTTCTTACCCAGTGAAGACCTTTAGCGATCTCATAACTGATGAGGCTTTAGATTTGTATGTACGAGCTCATAGCTCAAAGGAAACCTCCACCCACTTAGAGAAAGGTAAGAAAAACAAAGATACTTATATGTGAACTTACTGATTTTAGTTAATATCTCATTAAGTATTTCACTTATTACTCTTTATGCAGGCTAGAAGCTCAGTAAAAGGCTTCTAGCCCAAGTCCGGTCAAGTAATCTCCCTTCTACTCCTGCTTCCAAAAAATTACGAAGGGTAGGAGAAGGGAATCATGGTACATCCGCAAGCCCTGGAGTGTTATCAGGTCCTACTCCTGTACCTCTAGGTTTCAGCGGATTTGGTGGGGTTCCTACTAGTTTCGAAAGTTTTGGTTCGGTATCAACCAACCAAGCCTTTTCCCACGGGGAATCGGTTCTCGATGACGCTAATGTCGCGAATGACAGTTTACATAAAATGGTAGTAAAAGACGACACTGCCAGATTGCAGAGTCTGCTAGCATCTGAGCTTTCAAAGAAATTTCTTCATCTAATCAGCCAGGTGAGATTTTACCCTTATTATGTGCATCTCTTTTTTTCGTTTATTTATTTATTTTTAACTGTTCGCCACTATTTATTTATTTATAGGGCACTACATACTCTGTTGTTATCGCCAAAGAATACGAGAAGCTTTCCCTAGAGATGGCTTCCCTCAAGGCTAAATATGAAGATGTTACTTCTACACTTAAAATAAAAGAAGATGACTTGACTAATGCAAAATTAAACTTTCAAGATGAGAAAGTGAAACTTACCAAAGAATACTCTGATAAGCTGGAACTCGAGAAGCTAGCTACCGTGGAGAGTTTTAAAAATTCTGATGAATTCAAGGTGCTCATAGGTAAGGCTTGCTGTGATGGTTTTGACCGGTTCAAAGCTCTTGTCAGCAAAGATCGTCCAGATATAGACTTTTCTATGTATGACGTTCTAAGTGAGAGCGAAGAGGAAGATTGAATTCCATAGTATTAGTCATATATATATATATATATATATTAGGTTTTTTGATTTCTCAGTATGTTGTTCCTTTAAAACTTTTCAGAATATCTCTGAATCCAGAGAATAGTTGCTCTACTTTTGTCTTTCATGGTATTATTTCATACTTGTTGTTTCCTTATACAGAACTCATTTTACTTTCCCAGGCTTCACTCAGCCCGTCCTTCTTTCGAAGGAATATATTTTTACGAGCTTCACCCAGCTCGTCCCTTTAGTAAGGGAAAGTCACTTATTTATTCTAATAAAGAAGTGGACTTAATGTGTCACTAGTCTTTATGTGACTTATAAAATTCAGTAGAAACACGTGCAATAAATACGAATAACTATTTTATTAAAGACCTATCGAAAATAATAATCGATAGTTGAATATTAGCATCCGTTATACACTGGTCTGCTTTATTGAAGCTAAAAACATTCTATCACTTTTAAAAGTGAGATAATAAAATAAAACACAGCCTGGCATGAGTACCTACTGGTAATATTTCCTCAAATGTTCTACATTCCACGGGTGGGGAAGCTGACTCTAACCAGTATGCCCCCGGTCTGTTGCTTTTAGTTACTCAATAAGGGCCCTCCCAATTGGAAGCTGGCATGAGTAGTCGGGGTAACCTCGCGAAGCACCAGGTCTCCTGGCTCGAACCTCCTTGGCTTGACCCGGGCATTGTAGTACTTGGATATCATCCGCTGGTAAGCCGCAACCTTGACTTGGGCCTGCTTCCTTTTCTCTTCTACCAGGTCTAGGTTTAATCGTAGTTCCACCCCGTTCTATTGAGGTTCAAAATACTTGGTTCTGAAGGTAGCAACCTTTGTTTCTACCGGGATCACAGCTTTACTTCCAAAAGCTAACCCAAAAGGGGTCTCCCCATTGGGGGTTCTTACGGTAGTGCGATAGGCACATAACACTCCGGGTAGTTGTTCAGGCTACAAGCCCTTGGCCTTTTCTAGACGCGTCTTGATCATCTTCAATATTGTCCTATTCATGACCTCAACTTGCCCATTGGCTTGGGAATGGGCAAGAGAGGAGAAATGAACTTTGATCCCAAGTTCCTTACAAAAATCGAGGAACTGCTCACTTTCAAACTGCTTCCCATTATCAGTCACAATTACCCTTGGTGCTCTGAACCTGCAGATTACTGTCTTCCAGAAAAACTTTTTTACTTCATTCGCTCCAATATGAGCTAATGGCTCAGCTTCTACCCATTTGGTGAAATAATCGATAGCCACAATTACATATTTAGTTTGTCCCTTCCCTTGGGGTAAGGGGCCGATGAAGTCTGTCCCCCATTGGGCAAAAGGCCACGGCCCTGTAAGAGGGGTTAACTTTTCTGCTGGTTGTTTTGGGACATTGGCGAATCTCTGACACTTGTCACATTTCTTCACAAACTCAAGTGCATCTGTCCTCATAGTAGGCCAAAAGTATCCTTGTCGGATAGCTTTATGCGCTAGTGATCTGCCCCCAGCATAATTTCCACAAAGGTCTTCATGTATGTCTTTTAGAATGTAATTTGCCTCATCAATGGAGACGCAACACAAGTAGGGTAGAAAAAATCCCTTCTTGTAGAGAACCCCATCAATGAGGGAATATTTTGTCGCACGCATCCTAATCTTTCGTGCTTCCATGCGGTCCTAGGGTAGCTCTTCGTTCTCAATGTACCTGATAATGGGTTTTGCCCACTCCATGCCGTGGGCCATCTGGTGTATTTTCTGTGGCCAATCCCAAACCGTGCTAGGCTCATCCAAATATCCCACGGGTATGGCTTTATCTTCCTCTGTGGTTGCCAGTCGAGCCAGGGCGTCTGCCTACGCATTCTCTTCTCGGGGAATCCGACAAATAGAAAACTTCTTAAAAAAACCCTTGATATCCTCTATCTTATGTAAATAGGTCTTCATCTTCTCATCCTTGGCTTCATATTCCCCCTGGACTTGTCCAATTATTAGTTGAGAGTCAGTATATGCTACTAGTCGTTCAACTTCCAAAGCTTTCGCCATCTTGAGGCCTTCTAAGAGGGTTTCATACTCTGCCTCATTGTTGGTGCTTTAAAACCAAACCTGAGTGCATATTTGATGCTTTCCCCATTTGGGAAGATAATTACTAGCCCTGCCCCACTTGCACGGGCGTTGACAGACCCATCCACATATAACGTCCAAGTAGATTCGGCTTCTTCCTGCTTATCTGCAGCATGATTGGGCCCATCTTCTGGTGTGAATTCCGCTATAACATCTGCTAGTACCTAGGCTTTTAAGGCCGTTCGGGGTTTGTATTGGATATCAAACTCTCCAAGTTCTACCGACCACTTCATGAGTCGCCCTGAAGTATCAGGTTTGCGGAGAACTTACCTAAGTGGTTGGTCCGTCAATACTATTATTGTATGAGCTTGGAAGTAAGGCCTAAGTTTCCTAGCGGAGATAACTAGAGCAAATGCCAACTTTTCTATCCTTGGGTACCTTTCTTCCGCCCCCCTGAATGCACGGCTAATATAATATACCAGTTTCTGGTTTCCATCCTCTTCGCGGACCAAGGCTGAGCTTACTGCCGACAGAGAAACCGCCAAGTACAAATACAACTGTTCTCCTTGTATCGCCCGCGACAATAATGGTGGTGAAGTGAGATACTCCTTTAGCTCTGTAAAAGCTTGCTCGCACTCAGGGGTCCATGAAAAAGCTTTCCTGAGCACACGGAAAAAAGGCAAACACTTATCGGTCGCCCTGGAAATCAACCTGTTCAGAGCTGCGATCCTTCCTGTCAATCTTTGAAGTTCCTTGGTCGATGCTGGAGACTGCATGTTGAGAATCGCCTGGACCTTCTTAGGGTTAGCTTCTATTCCTCTTCTACTTACCATGTAACCGAGGAATTTCCCAGAGAAGACTCCGAAGGCACATTTACTTGGGTTGAGCTTCATCTGGTGTTTCCTGAGGACTTGGAACGTTTCCTGTAGATCAACCAGATGGTCTTGAGCTTTCAAGCTTTTTACGAGCATGTCATCCACATACACTTCCATATTCCTTCCGATTTAGTCCTTAAACATCAGGTTTACTAGCCACTGATATGTTGCACCAGCATTTTTTAGCCCAAAAGGCATCACCTTATAGCAATATAAACCTCTGTCCGTGATGAAAGAGGTTTTATCTCTGTCTAGTGTGTGCGTTGAGATTTGGTTATACCCTGAGTATGCATCCATAAAACTGAGCAGCTCATGGTCAGCTGTCCCTTCTATCAACATATCAATTCTTGGCAGAGGGAAACTGTCTTTGGGGCACGCCTTATTTAAAACGGTAAAATCTACGCACAACCTCCATTTTCCATTGGCCTTTTTTACCAAAACAACATTGGCCAACCAGTCGGGATAATGAACCTCTTGGATGAAATCAGATTTCATAAGCTTATTCACCTCTTCTGATATAGCCATGTTCCTTTCCGCGGCAAATGTTCTTCGCTTTTGCCTGATAGGTTTGAATGTAGGATCTGTGTTTAATCGATGCTTAATCGTAGTTGGATTAATACCGGGCATGTCTTCATGTGACCAAGCGAATACATCTTGATTCTGTCTAAGGAACTGTATAAGAATATTTGTGAAATCGGAGGGGAGCAGAGACCCTATCCTCACATTTTTTGTTATGTCAGTGTCATTCAAGCATATCTCCACCAAGTCCTCGATTGGCTTAGCCCGGTCTTGCTCCTTCTCTTCAACTTCATCGACAATCAAAGCCTCCTGCTACCTCTTTTCTTTGAGAGAGGCAACATAGCATTCTCTGGCAGTGGACTGATCTCCTCTTAGTTCGCCTACGCCATGCTCGGTAGGGAAGCGCATTAATAGGTGATAAGTCGAAGTGATGGCCTTTATCGAATTTAAGGTCGCTCTTCCTAGGATGACATTGTAAGCAGATGGACAATCCACCACCAGGAAGTCGACCATGACAGTGACTTGTTTTGGGCTGGTTCCTGCAGTGACAGGAAGGATGACTGCTCCTAGAGGATAGACCTTGTCTCCCGTGAATCCCACCAATGGTGATCTAGTAAGTCTGAGTTTCTCCTTACCAATCTTCATCTTGCTGAATGCATCAAGAAAAATGATATCAGCTGAACTTCCATTATCTACCAAGATTTGCCGAGTATTATAGTTAGCGATCATCATGGTGACGACAAGAGGGTCGTCATGAGGTTGCTGCACATCCTTCATGTCTTCATCTGAGAATGTAATAACTGGATCACCTAAACGAGGCATCTTTCGATGTTGAATCTGTACTCCTACTTCGCACACCTCAGATGAGTTTCGCATTCTCCTGGCATAGGCCTTACGGGTGGAACTCAATTTTCCACCTCCTGCACACCCCCCGGCTATGACCCTGATCTCTCCTATTGGTTGTTGATCAGAAGGGTGGTTGTCTCGGCCTGCTCTTAGTGGGTTAATGTCTGTTCTGTCATTCCCCACAATAAACTTTCGCATATGCCCTCTTCGGATCAGAGTCTCAATCTGATCCTTAAGGTCGAAGCAATCCTCTGTAGCATGCCCATGGTCTTTATGGAACCTGCAATACTTATCACGAGGTCTCCTTGCCGAATCTGACTTCAACTTCGATGGCCACTTCAGATATGGCTCATCCTGGATCTGCAGGAAAACTTGATCTATCGGCATATTTAAAGGAGTGTAATTTGTATACCTCTCCGCATTCTTATAGCGAGATGCCCTTTCATTCTGGTTGACCATGGGCTTCTTATACTTAGTTTCCTTTTCATCTTTGATCGTCAGGGCCGGCCTTTTCTTGTCTGACTTCTTATCCTCCCCTTTTTTTCCCTTTCTCGCAATCATTGCATCTTCAGCATTCATATGTCTTTTAGCTCGAACCAATAACTCGGCCATGCTGGTAGGAGGTTCCTCTGATAAAGAGAAGAGGAATCTTGAGGTTTGAAGCCCTCCCATGAAGGCGGCTAGGGCCACCTTGTCATCCGCTTCCTCTACCTGTAACATCTCCGTGTTAAAACGACTAATGTAATCTCGCAGTGACTCTCCCTTCTGTTGCTTCACAGTAAGGAGGTGGGTAGCCGGCCTTCTATGCCTCTGGCCAGCAATGAAATGGCCCACAAAGCCCTTACTCAATTCTTCAAAGGTTTCGATAGTTCCTGCCTTTAGTTTGTTGAACCATACCCGTGCTGATCCTTTAAGAGTTGTTGGGAAAGCCCTGCACATGATCTTATCCGGCATCGCGTGTAGGTGCATAAGCGCCCGAAAAGTCTCCAAGTGGTCTAGGGGATCTTTAGTTCTGTCGAAACTCTCAATTGTGGGCATTCTAAATTTGCTTGGCAAAGGACATTTCATAACCGAGGGGCTAAATGGCAAATTGGTCTTCTGCAGCAAACCATCTACGGCTGCAATGCCTTTTTCCCTTCATGGCCTGCATCACACCCTCTATCTTTGCCTTGAGATCCTGCATCTCTAGGTCAACGTAGGAAATCTCCTCAGTTTTTTCAATGACAGTCGTGTCTTCATGGGGTCGGGAACTCCGTGGAAGAAAGGGGTGGATCACCTCTCTATGTCGGTTTCCCACTTGGCTTTGTTCAACTTCGGTCTCATGTCGGGGAGGATGAGTATCCTGCTCTTCTAGATTCCCATTACCCCTGTTTGGATTCGAGAAGTCTTGGCGTGGCAAGCCTTGTTGAACCGGTGGAACAAGGTGTTGCAGGAGTGCTGCATTTTGTTGGATCAACTGGTCCATACCCTGATTCAGAGTTTGGACCTGCAGTTCCAACGCTGCAAATCTTGTCTGGTCATTTAGGACGTCTAGATTTTCACCCGACTTTTCCCTTTGACCAGATCGCTACGACGGTGTTCCTTCGGTAACCATACCGGACCGCAAACGTCTATACCCAACGAGTAATAAATTGATTCAAGGGAATCGCTGTTCTCACAGACGGCGCCAATAGTTGAGGTTGAATTTCGCCGCGGTCTAGTATGACACCATTTCCTGCAAAATAAGGATGGCAAAGTCAAACACCGGTGTGGTGCTGGCCGTTGACCCTCCGACGATCAAGTTAGTAAAGGTTCTCGATAGAGAATTTTAATCGTAATTCGCTTAGTAGGAGTTTTTTTGTGTGTACCTTATTCCCGAGTCGTCTTTGTATTTATAGTCACTTCCCTTATTCTTGATAAGGGAATTTCATCGTCCTTAGCCCATGGAGCCTACTTCGTGGAAATCTTATCCTTGATAAGATTTGAACTTACCCCATGACAAATCCTATCCTAGATACGATTTGTCATTATTCTTATCTAATAGAAATGGTTATCCTTAATAACGAGATATTATCGTCTGAGAGTTGGAGAAATCTGGTGGCCGGTCAATATTTAATTACCTTTTTCGTTAAGTCAAGATAGGCTAGGGTTATTTTTCCCTATCAAATATATATTAAAATAAGTAAAATATATAATTGAGCAACTTTATACTATGCAATCGGCGTAGTTGCTTTCTGGGCTTGAACCTACACTTAGTATGATAGTCTCCATTTGAGGAACCTGAATGAACTAAGTCTTGAATTCGGTTTCTTAAGCCAAATTTTAACATACCACACACATAGTATTGACGATAGACTTGGTTTGGAGGGTTAACGCAATTAATGGCCATGCGCTGGTATATTGATTCTCATAAAAGCTCTAGGGAACAACCCAACTCCCACGGTCACGGCTTCACGATGACTTTCACTTAGGTGAATACTCCGAGGGTATATGTGATCTATACCCTGTGAGAGTATGCTCATCTCGAATTCATTCAGGGCCCTTCCTTAACGTCATATCACAATACAGATACCATAGTGATGAACAAGAAAGGATCTCCTCGAGAAACCTTCTAATAAAGTAGTGTTGTCAATGAGTCACGCAGTGCAGATTATTTCTACCCATTGAACCTTTCGTCATATGATTAAATTGCCAATCGAAAGGTTGGGTTACCTCCGTATCCCCTTCGACATATATAGGACTATGTCCTAAGAAGACACTTGGTCTTTTTAAAATCTTTTCTTTTCTTCACAACTCAACTCTTGGGTTTATCTTTTCTTTTTCTTTTTTTTCTTCTTTTTTTTTTTCATAGTTTTTCCTCTCTAATTTTTCCTTCCTTTTTTTTTTTCACAAAATGATACGTCACCAAATAATACCTCGTTAGAAAATTTTTAGATTGATACTTAGCTTTGTTTATTCTATCTGGATAGATCGAATTATTTTTCTATTATGTTAGTATATGCTTTGGTTGCAAGATTACAATGTAGGAAGTGGCATGATGAGAAAGTTAGCACGCACGCGCGCACGCACACACATACACACACTACATCGGAGAAGAGAACTCGGACAATCCCGATCTCCCTCCGCCACACAAAATAAATTTTTTATTAAATTGTGACCCACCATGCAAGCACACTTGCCATGGTGAATGTCATATTACAAAGACTAGGTCTCACCTATTTTCTATATTTTAGATTACAAATATACTCATTTAATTTAATTCGAAACCGCAAAGACCAGGGGCATCCATGGCTCCTCCTTCTACAAGAATCTGTTGATTAATTGTGCAGTCGCCTTTCTCCACCCAGCGTTCAAACCTCTACAGTTCGTGAATTTGAACAATTGTTTCATTTCACAACTAGCTTCATACTCCACGCAAGTACTACATATTACACCTCATGCAGCAGAAAAACACTTTGTTTCAATATTCATTAAAGATAGAAAACAATGTATTGAAAGTTAATGAGCCATTTATAATGATAAACATTATTTTTTTATGATTGGTGTCAAAGAAGAAGAATAATAATATACAGTGCTCAAATTAATGTAAATCAATTAGAACTCATTAATACATATATTCATGGTTTATAAATCATGTCAAGGCTCCAACGGCTAGCAAACCAATGGTGTTCATAACATATATTTCATTCATATATATATATATATATATATATATATATATATATATATATATATATAAACTGCCACCCATGTGCAAAATATAAACTGCCACCTATGACGTGTAAATTTTTTTTTATCTCCAATAGTCTTTTAAAATACATTACCACATTACCAATGTGTAAAAAAGTTGTGTAATTTACATTGTCAAATCAATATATTTCCTTTCTCATCCCTATTTCTCATTCCATTAAAGAATCAACCATATATTAAGTAAGTTTGTAAAAGTTATGTGGGCTCCAGGCATGACACATGGCTAGTTATTATTGGGAGATATATTTTTACACAAATGGTATATAAGAACCATTGGAACTCAAATTAAATAATTCAAAATTTTTGTATAGATCCATCGTGATACATCAGATTCACGCAAAAAAATATACACAACGGTTGGAGATGCTCTAATATAAATTCTATTTGTTAAGAGTTACAAAATTAATTTTACCAAACATAGAAAACATTAATTCTAATTCAAATAATTTGCAATTGGAAATTTAATTCCTTGCCCAGCCGTCCAGTGAGATGGAATGCCATTTTTTTTTTTTTTTTTTTTTTTTCAATTTCTTTTCTCCCTTAATTAATTTTTTCTAGCCAAAACAACAACATCCATAAGGCAACTAGAATACACAGTAAATAACACAATAGGCTAACAACAAAAAAGAATCTATAATATATAAAGTTTCTTTTATATTTCCTTTAATAATGTAGAAGCGTGCCATCTAAAGTGATGCTTAGAAAGGCAAAAAATACATGCAGCATATATTATATATATACCTCTATTTTTTTTTTTCAAGACACCATAAATATGATATTTAACTCACCTCAAACCTTTCTAATAACCTCATGCGATAAACAAGGAATGGATTAATATAATAAATCAAATCAAGAAAATACAACTCAATATATTATTAAGGAAATTTCAGCTTTAGACTGTTGTGGAAATTCCACATAATTTATAAAATAACACAAATACAATAAATCAATTCAACATTACATAATGAAATAAAATAATAAATAATTCATTACTGAATAATTCTAAATAATAAATTAATAAAACTTTGCAATTCTTTCAATAAAATGAATACAACAATATGGATATAAAGATGAATAATGATTTAACAATATAATAATTCTGCAATAGAAAATTAGTATAATAATAGAAATGTTATGAATTAATCCCTTTTTGTATACAGAATGATACAACTAGTTAGGAATTAATCCGCCGAAGATCACACAGAAGTATACAATTATAACAAAGAGAAAAATAAGATGGACAAACACACTCAACTACTAACAAGGTTTATACACATATGAAGAACCACTCACTGTTAATATAGCAAAGAGAATATTACAACACTCATCAGACCCTCACTTGGCCCTCAATGTTTCTTCTCTATTTTCTCTCTCTATATCTCTTTCTGTTCTCTATTATTTTCTTTTCACTTCCTTTCACCTATATTTATAGGCTTCTTCCACCTCCTTTGAAGCTTCCAATGTATCTACAAGTATCTACAACATTCTAGAACTCTCCGTAATCCTCCACACAATTCTAGATAACTCTAGAACCTTCTACACACTTTTACAATATTCTACACCTTTCTACACATATTTAGAATCTTCCACACAACTCCAGACAATTCCGGAAGACTCTAGAAACTTCTCTCTTAATATATATATATATTGTCATCAAATTTTCGTCACTTTTAACAAATCTCCTTCTTGATGCAAGATCTTAACATCTCACCCAAGTACTCATCTTGGGAACCAATATCATAGCATTGAATTGTAACCAACCTTTCATCTTTTCTGGAATGAAGGTTTGTGTTGTTGTCATTGTTACAACTTTACCTTTCACTAGCTGTTCTTGAACCTTCACCATGGACTTACATTCTGAATTTGCAACAGCTCCACCCTGCAATGTATTCCCCAATAGGACATACAGATCACCAACCTTCCTTCCAATGAGCATGATATGTTTACCTCTTCGTACCTTCATTAGTCCATACTTTGCTTCAAACCGACAATTTCTCGACACCAAGGCACTGAAAGAAATCACATTCCTTCTCACACTTAGAACATGATACACATCAATTAAAGTTCTTATCAACCCATTTGTAGTCTTGATGTTGATTGTTCCGATCCCCACAACTTCACAAGATGTATTATTCCACATAAAAAAAATTTCCAACCGCAGGCTTGTAGGAGGAAAACCAATCTCTATGAGGACACACATGATGGGAACAAGCAGAATCAAGTAT